ACTCTTCCAGTTCCCGGAAGGAGGGAAGCTTCCCACTGTCATGGTCTAACTTCCTCCGCTGATGTCGGGTATGCGGAGGAGTTCGATCACGAGGCGGTGGCATATTCTGTGCCCTCATTGCCTCCATGAGTACTGCCAGCGCCCTTGCCACCTCTTCCGAACTGGGCCCCGTCAAAGGGGTCCTCGGCCGAGTGTGGGAATGAGGCCGCGCAGCCGATGGTTGGCTTTGGGACACTGAATATGTCCTATGATCAGACTGACCCCTGCTAGACCGAGAGTGGTCCGGCCTATATTGAGAGTCATGCATTACAGGAGATAGGGAATTCTCCTTGTATGATCCTCCCCCCGAGCCGGCACCCTTGGGAGAGTTCCGGTCCGGCGAGGGCGATGGTGTAGGGGTTTTAGGATTTTCGCCCGCTCCTTGACGGAGGCTTTTGCTCTTGCGGTTCTTAGCCATGGCTGCTAAGATAATTGCAAGATGATCTTGGTTAGGAATTTGGCTTAAAGATTTTTGAAAGTCTTCCCCACAGACGGCGCCAAATTGTTTCGGGTGAAAACAATGGGACCTTGCCGAAGGTCCGCTGAAATGGAGAAGACTGGATTCGGTCCAAGTTGTGTTGGGCCGAAGGTTTCCTGCACAGCAAACACACGTAAACTAGCCTCGGGGGGTGTTTCCGAGGAAGGCCCCTCCGATGCTAAAGTCAGTACAATGTGTAAAAGGAAGACACTATGCAAGAGAGTTTGTAGCTTGAGGCTTTTGTGGAATATATCTGAATGCAAGAATGAGCATATGAATTGGAATATCAATCTCCCCCTGTATATGTCAATATGATGGCTTTTATACCTCATCATACATGGAGAGGTTGGGCCTTAGCCCAATTGGCTTACTTTGTGGGCTGACCTTTGACTTTTGAGCAATTGGAGAGTTGAACCTTGACCTTGGGCTTTTAATTGGATCATTTAGTGCTTAGGCCCAATTTTGACTAAATTGGACCCAAACAGGCCCTTTTTTGGGGTTGAAGATTGAACTCGGCCCAGGCGCTGAGCCACTGCCAGAGGTGCTAGCCTCTTCCAAGCCTCGGAAAGGCACCGACGTCAACGGCACCGCAACAATGGGAGCCTCGCTCGACGAAGCCCTAGTTTCCATCCTGGGACGAGGAATTCGATTGCTCAAAGGCGGCATCGGCCCAAGTGATTGATTGCGCCGAGGAATTAATTGAGGAGTTTCCTCTTCCTCTTAGCAACTACTGGTCTCTTGCCTCGGTCTTGAACCATTTTTATGCGGGAAATCGAGAAGTCGGGAAAAAGGGGATGCTTTAAAAAATCAAAGAAATCAGAACAAGTTTGGAGAAAATTACCTCTATCAAAAGCGGAATTCGCCGATCTATAAATTTGGAGCAACAAACTTCGGCTCTAGGTGCAGAAATGCAGAGAAAATTCGAAAAAAGGAAAGTGCTTTGTCAGGGTTGATTAGCAAAAGAGCGGAAGAAAGAGTTTGCAAGAAATGAGGAGAGAGAGTGGGATGAGTGGTTTAAGTAAGCTTCCGGAAGCAGGAATTCCTAGAGTCCGTACCACTAAAAGCCTCACTAACTCCACCTAAATGCAACCGTTAAACACTTCCCAAAGTTAACTATCCACTAAACCTTCCATCTTCCCTAATTATTCTCTAAATGACAATCATTCACCTCAATAACCACCCAAAATCAAATTTTTAATTAAACCAATACTTTCCTTCATTTTGCAAGTCAAAACCCGACCAGTCATGCTTCCGGATCGGGTCTGGGGAACAAGTTGTTTGGGTCCAATTCAGTCATTCAATTGGGCCGGTCCAAATGTTTTATGTTTGAAAACAATGTATAAACAAAAAAAAAATTAAAAATTGATATTATAAATTTACATTGAAATGTAAACAATAATATCTCAAATGGCAAGCATATGTTATAATATAAATTTTTTGATAATGTATAAAAATTGTTCCATGAATCTACTCTATTTTTTTAGTAAGCCTTTTATGAATTGAAGTACAACTACATGTATCACCATCCTTAAAATAAATGGAAAATTAACCATGATAACGTAAATAAAGTGAACAATCCAAAGCATTATCCATCAATCATGTCTAGTGCAGTTAATTGTCTCATTTTCTTCTCAATAATGTGTTTTAATTAGTGTTATGAATGTTAGTTAATGTAATTTATTTTTCCTCCATAACTAGGCCACTAATCAAATTAATTAAATATAAACTGCTGAGTGAAGAAAATAATTTAGTAATGTTACATCGATCGAATTTATTTTATTTTCCTCCATAACCACTAACAACCATTCAACCATATATATACTTGATCCGGCCATACTCGTAAACTTCATCCAACTCATACCGGACTTCTACTCAATAATAAAGAAATAATGAGAAAAAATGAGCCGAGCTCAGCAGATGACAAGTGTGTGATGTTCATAACCATGGCTATACTTCTGATGACTTTCGTCGTCTCAGCTTCTAGAAGATCAAGATGCACCAGAGCTAAAGAAGAGCATGTACAAGTGAGGGATTATTTTATATGATTGATTAACGTTTAATTATTATCAAAATCATCGTTTATTTTTTGGTGTTTCACCTGATTCATCCTTTGAGCTAATTTGGATTCGAGGATCAGTTCTGGGTGGTTAGGTTCCAGTCCCCTCCCAATTATTGTTGCGGGGGATCGAACACGCGATCCTCCCTACTAAGTGTAGCCCTAATCACCACCACACCAACATCCAATTGGCTCAAAATCATCATTTATAAGTGAGGGATTATAGTCATAACCTTATTTATTAGTTTCCACAAAATCAGGACAAACCTTATAATCTACCCTGCCAATAACATTTTTGAAAGCTGGTTAAAGAATAAATTAATAGTGAAATGAAAATGGAGAGCATGTATAATCATAATTAATCAAGAGTTACAAACCAAAAGCCGGCTTATTTGTAATTTAATCCAACCGTCCCTGTGATTAATCATTTGACAATATTTTGTAAGTCTCTTTCAGATTAAATAAAACAATCTTATTGAGATGGAGAAAGTGATAGAGTTATGAGAAAGAGAATAATAATGTTGGAAAGCTTGATTATATTGAAGAGTACATAAGAGTATTTATAGTACATAAGTAAGCATTAGACTATGACTAGATATATAAGAGTATTTGTTTAGGTACATTAGACAAGAATAAAGGATATATTTGACTATCAACCTAAATGAGTAAATCAAAGGATTACAAAATAAACTATGAACAGGTTTTAATAATGATAATGTTGATTTAGTCATTATTTTCCTTTATACGCCCTCGCAAGATGGACGGCGAAAGGAAAAGTACAATCTTGTAAAATGAATGTCCTTCTTAATTGTTGATTGCCACACCAAGATGTTGGTGGTTCTTCAATTGAGAGTTGCACATAATTTTTTTTCATAGGAGTGTATAAAGGAGGTTTTTTTTTTCTTTTATGAGGTGGAGTTGCGTGAAGCATTCATTTTCTTAGGAGAAGAATAACATTTAGTCATCATTGAAATAAAGGAGTTTGAGTTTCTCCGTAAAAGTTTGGAGAAGTGATTTTATGTTTGGCAACACTTGGTAGATAGACTACATACTTAGGCCAAAAGGCATTGTTTCTCCATAAGGGGGGTTTTGGAGAAATGAGTTTATATTCAACAACATTTGGTAGATAAATTACGGGGTATCGAAAAGGGATTGTTTCTCCATAAGAGGTTTGGAAGAAAAAAAAAATGATAATTATTAGCATCTCTTGGTATATGAGATACGGGGTGCTAAAAGAGTTAGAGCGGAAGTTTGAGGTTTGAAGCTTTCCAAGAAGAAAGTTTGATATGATCACCATCATTTGTCGGTGTCGGCAAAGGTTTTTGATAGTGTAGTCATAGAATAAGAGGTTGTGGTAGCGGAAGCGAGAAAAAAATGGATCAATAGCTCATGATACCAAGATAGAGAGTTATGAGAAAGAGAATAATGTTGAAAAACTTGATTATATTGAAGAGTATATAAGAGTATTTATAGTACATAAGTAAGCATTAGACTATGACTAGATATATAAGAGTATTTGTCTAGGTACATTAGATAAGAATAAGGGATATCTTTAACTATCAACCTAAATGAGTAAATCAAGGGATTACAACTAAATTATAAACACTAATTAATAATGATAATGATGATTTAGTCATGATTTTCCGTTATAGAAAGTATGTAACAATGTAATGTACAATAATCCGTATTTTTTAACAACCAGCCGGGCTGTACACAACTGTCTCAATTAACTCTATAAATAGGCTTCATCTACTCCCTCCCATTCAATCAATTCATAAACACGAAAAAAATAAAAATGAATCAGACACAACTGACTAAGTGTGTGGTGTTCATAACCATGGCTGTGCTTCTTATGGCCTTAGCCGTCTCAGCTGCACGATCTCAAAGGAGGGCCTTTAGGTGGTAATAAGGGTGGTGGGATGGTGGGTGGACTACGGGATGGACATCTTCTCATCGGCATTTTAGGAATTATTTAAGTGTATTAAGTGAGGATATTTTAGGAGTTTTAATTTTTTTTATTTAAAAAAATTGTTAACTGTGGGATTAAGAATTAACTAAATTGTTTCATTAAGTTCACCATTGAAAAATTATAACTAATTAAAGTTTATCAACGATAATAAGATTTTTTCGCAATTCACCACTAATAAAATTAGACAAGTTTGCCCTTAATAATATTCCAAAGCATGCATTTTCCAAGTGTTTACTAGTTTACTACTCTATTACATGTTTCTTGTACTGTGGCCTGTGTTCATTCATCTATTCTGTTTAAATATTAATGACAAGTTTGCGGAATAATGAGCTCCATTTGCTCTTAATACTTGCAACAATTTGAGTTTTATACTATTTATTACTCTGTATATGTAAACACTTGATATTTTTATATCGACCTCTAGTACACTTTGGACAAGTACTTGGTCTGAAAAATATACTTGGTGGTATGCTCAGAGGACTTTGCTAACAATAGAGAAAGGCCTAATAATCTACTGGCCAATAATATCATCAACATTTAACCATACGTACATTTCGATTCCATGATCAGCAATCAGAATCGTTCCCTAAATGTCATCTGTGATTTTAAGGTTTCAACTATACAAAAGTTTTCCACTCCCCAAAAATATACATGGCCAACAAATCATACAGAAACTGCCCTACAAAATAGACTGTTTACAAATTCGGGGACAAAAAGAGAAGCTGATGCAAATCAAGTGGTTAAATAGCAATAATTTCCTTGATCCTGGCTTCCTGTTTCAATGCACTTGACATCTTTATCTCAGCATCCATCTCGAAGTTGATCTTCTGCATTGAGTCTTTCAGCTGTGTGAGTTTATTCTCAAGCAATTTCATTCTCTCTTCGGCTAAAGCTCGCTTAATGATACTTTCTTTCAGCTTATTTGATTCATCAGCTGTGTCAGATTCCACAGCAATGCCTAGTAGTTGGTTAATGTGAGTAACCAAGAAATCGACTTTCATGCCTAGCATCTCGAATCCCTTCAATGTTTTCTCCCAAACCCGAAGATCTTCATGAGAAGTAGAGGCCTTCTTGCAGGATTTGATGGCATCTGCAATGTTGATAGTCTCTGCTATGATCCCAACCACCAGATTACAGTTCAGGCCCTTAAGGAAATTCTCATGCAGAAACGAACTTTGGCTGTGGCAGAGCTCGTAGTACTTCTTTAGAGTATTGGTAGAGAATTTGGAGTCCATAATGAGGTCGTCGATAACAATGTGGAAGTCCTCAAAAGCCTCCACTCCTTCGAATTTGATGTCAGAATCTGAGAATTGAATTCCTTCGAGTACTTCAGGTCCTGACTCAATATCACTGTTGCTTTGGGACAGGTAGCCAGAGGAAGTGTTGTTGTCTTCTTCTGTTTGTAAGACCTTCTGGCTATTGCCCTCTATTTTAGGATAAAAATGGACATGGACATCAGTAAATTATTCATCATGTAGCATTTTATAAAGAGACGCGATAACATGAGTGAGCTTTTACCTGATATCTGTTGTCCTACCCCAGGATCCAAGGTTAGGAGCCCTATAGATCCATCAACTTCACCAAAAGTTTGTCCTCTTACAACATAAATCTGTAGAAACATTGTGAAGTAGCAATGGATTGTAAATCGACGATGTGAAAGACCTGAACTTTGCAATGTAATTATTGTAGAACAGGACTTTTAAAAAAAGCCTTATCGTTTGAGTGAGAGAATTACTACTAGGAAGTCGAAAATTGTGTGGTTGTTTAGTAACTAAAATACGGGAATTCTTTCAAATGGAGGAAGTTGCATTCCTACAGGTAATTTATCCAACCTTTCTTATATACAACTAAACGCCACTAGTTTGCTAATTATGGCCATAAACACGGGCTAACCTGAAATTCTCATTCAGAACCACCAAGAAGGCAAGAACATTTAATAAAAATGCTTATGCACTCATGTCATATATAACCATTACTATGCACAATAAATAAGAAATCTCCTGCATACATTACTAAATTTAGTAGCCATGACTCATGTATAAGAAGCTTGCCTGAAATTTTGTTGGGGCAATCAATTGGAAAACCAGTACATCGCCCTCAAGCAAGCCATGATCAATGGAAAACCCCCTCCATCCGCCACTGAGACCTACTTTCGCAGCTAAATATTTGGTGCTGGATTTCTTACCAGCTTCATCCACCAACACTACATTACTGTCACATACAGGGAGATGCTTATCACAAAATTTTTTCGGCAGACCCTATCCATCACAAAACAAGCAACATCAGATTCATACACACAACTCCCTAATATCATGCTTTAAATCTGTTAGTTTTTTTACAAGTCAACCGTGTTTATGTTTGTGTAGGACAAGTTTTTTGCTAGCTTACCAACCAAAATCCCCCAGAAACATGTGATTTCAACATCAACTTGACAAAGCTAGGATATTCATCTGGTAAATTTGCTTGGATCTCTTCTGCTCGCTTCAAAGAAGACGACTTGTCACCCGATGGTAAAGGATCACTTAAGTCACTCCTTCGACTGCCCATACACAACATCATCAATGCACAATAGACATAGTATATCACATTCCCAAAATAAAAGCTATAAAATTAGTTTATAAGCTTACAATTTTTGTGTTATTGAAATTTCACTAGCCTTGGCATTTTTGTCATGTGATAAGTCATTGGTTTTGACCCTCTTCTTTTTAGCTCTTCAGTTACATCCAAATTACACAAATTCATCAGCAGAAAAACAATACATAATCTACAGTCACCAATTATTTGTAAAACTTCATAATGTTTATTTTGCTTGTTCTAACATTAAGGTCTTTACCTTTCTTTCTTTTGTTGCGGAACCCAAACCACAAGTTCTCTATTTTTCGAGGACTCGTCATCATCACTAATGTCCCTTGCTCGCTTGTGGCTTTCGTGTATAATCGAGCATCAAATCACACATAGCAATAAAAATGATCAAAATCAGTTCTAGTATAACAACATCCAGTACTAACAGTGTTACACCCTCTAGGAAAGTGATAAATGAAACTACTATCAAGGGGTATTACATCAACTAACCTTTCAATTTTTGTTCGAATTTTCGAAGACTTGGACATTACATTAACATTGTCTTCAAATAGTGTATGATCACTAGTGTCCATGTCCTTAGATGGCTTGGTGCTTCAGCAATCATTCAGATTTATTTACACAAGACATAGTTAGCATTGTGAAATTAAACAAGTGATATGCATATAAGAGCATAATAAAGTAACTTATCTATATTGCTTAATTACTTTTTCGGTATGTCTAGCCCACTTGTATAAAACAAGACAAGTCGCGCCAAATCACATAAAAGTTAAGTTTGTATGTAAAATTGGCTTTTGTATTAAGCATATCATATACTTATAAAATATACAATACACCCGTTGTATACATAATTTATGCATTCTCTCTTTGAAATTTGATAAAATTGGATGTAAATGAAATTTTTTAGGGCCTTTTTATTTACCTTTCACTTTGTTCTTGATTCTGTAGAGGTAATATCTGGTACCAAAAAATAAAAAATGAAACTTTTAATCAACAATAGAATAAATGGGCCATAATTCATAAAAATTTAAGAGAAGGTTTTTTTGTGAGATTTAAGGGTAAAGTTGATAATTATGATCATTTTCATAAATAAGAAGTCCAAAAAAATAAATCAAAAGTTCTCATCAATAATACTCAAAATAAAAATAAAATCTGAAAAATTCTGGAGTAATAAAGCTTCAAACTTTTCTGAGCATAAATAAAATACTCGTAAATGGAAAGAAAAAAAAAAGCAGTAACTTACAGGTTGAATTTCAGTTTGATGACCATCTTGAAGCATAGACAGTCTTTTTGCGACTAAAGCAAGTTTCAAATCCTTCTTTGCAATTACTGATTTCTCCTTTTTCTAACCAAAAAAAAAAATAGAGAGAAAATAAGTGTATTAAAACAGAGCAATTCAATTGGAAAAAATACAGTTTTAATATAAAATTAAAGTCCAGAAATCCAGAAATATGGAGAGAAATTAACCAAATCAACACTCTTTTTTCTGTTCTCTGCTTCTTTTACAGGAGTTTTAATTTCCATTTTTTTTTTTTTTTTTTTGAGGGGGTTTGAAAAATTGAAAGTGTAAGAACAGCAATGAAGATGATGAAGAGAAGATAAACTGTAAAAGCCTAAAAGGAAGGAAAGGAGGGAGAGTGTAAGTACGGAATTGGACCGTTTGAATTTGAAATTGGGTGGAATTTCTAGGGACTCGACTCTACTCAACCTACTTATATTATCATGATTATGTGATTTGATAGAATAGAATGTCTGAATATTTTCTTTCTATTTTGGAGAAAAAACCCTCCATTTTTTTTATTTTTGAATTGTACTTTAGCTTTCGTATTCCTCTGTTTTAGGTTTAAGTGAATATGGATCAATTTTATAAGGGAATCACAATACCCAAACTTTTTTTTTTTTTAACACACAATACCCAAACTTAATCCGGTCCACATTTTAATCTGAGATGACAATAAATGTTACTACAGAGTAATAATTAAGTGTATTAGAATGATAACAAATGCTACTACGGAGTAATAATGTTACTGGACACAAATCAAAATAATAATCAGAATGATTTTTCACTTAAATTTAATTCGACTTGATTTGACTTGATCCAAATCTTTATGGTCCTGTGCAATGTACGGATTTATCAGATTTTATAAAAGTTTGTATTTCAACAATTTTTTATAAATTTTTTTCTATTTATAAATAGTATGACAAAGGTCAATATTCTTTAAAAAATGCTTCGTAGTAAACTTTAAGTTATACATACCCGTATGATATATATACTCCGTACAAATTTATACTATATTAATAATTATGCATATTTTTTTTAATAATAATATTTTGCTTAAATTTTCTATAAGTTGTTGCAAAATTGTTTTATTGAATTTGGGAGGGAAAGATTACCTTATATATATATATATATATATATATATATATATATATATATATATGGGTAAAGTAGGAAAATATTATACAAGTAGTGAATTAAAAATTTTCTAAAATAATTTGACAAAAAAGTAAATAAAAAATTGGCAGGAAATTATTTAACCACATTTTGTCACATGTCATTTTTTATTTGCCTTTAGTATATAGTTATTATTGATTTATACAATACAAGTACTTTTTTTTTTTAATGAATCAATTTCTTCACAACAAATCAACTAAAGTTCTTAAGGGCTCGCAATCACAAAAATTTGAAAATTTTGTAGAAACAAAAAGATAATCTGGTATGAGATGAACTTATAAATTTTAACTTTGGGGCGATTTGTTATTTTTTTTTTTTTAGGTCTTTGCACCTATTGATTACTACTAAGTACTAAAATCAGATTGGTAACATCATTAAAATACACGTGTTAATTTCTTGTAAAAATATTCGGTTTAAACTATGTATAACATCATTCAATTTAACTTCTTTTTTTCTTTCAAGTTCCAAGACTAACACTTCTACATATAGTTAACATACACATGTTCCAAATAAAGAGTATAACCAAGTAATAAATCAAATGAGAAATAAGCTTGCTAGAGTTTTAAACCCCATGACCCAAAAACACACATACGCACAAAAAGTCAAATCGGAGCACTTAAGTATAGATGAGGGAGTATAGTATATCATTCTTACATCTTATGTCCTAGTAAACATAATGCTTGTCGATTTATGCTCCTTATAAAGTTGTTGGTGCATGTTGCTTAAGTTGGTTCACAATTTAGAGTTAATTAAATTAAACAGAGACATTGCCTCCTTAGCTTTGTGATTGGATTAACGCTAACTTGGTTCATACTCTGTTTGAAATACAATCTCCAAATTTAATAGATTAATCTGATTGCTTGAGTGCCACACTATTAGCTTTTTCGATCTTAAAGACCACAGTTAGGAGTTTAGGCACAATAGTCCATTATGATAACCAAACTTATAATTTTCTCAATTTCACTTCATATATTCAGTTCAACAATATTGATTTACATCTACCTACATGGGCTACATCTAAAGATAATATGACAATGGCAAGGTAAGAGCCAATACAAAATACAAACAAAAAAAAAAACATTATGTAATGTGCATATGCTGGGCCCGTGAGTTGATGAAGCGTGATAAGGCCCAACACAATAAAACAAGCTATAATTAGCTAATTTGTCTAGGCCACCCTTTTAACATTCTCAACGCAACACATATAGTAGCTATACTAATTGGCTCGTCCGTGAGCCAAGCTTATCCAACTCCAAGACAAGCTAGTCAGGCACGGCTCACAACCATCTTTACCTTCATCTTTCAATTGCTGAAATGGGGAATAGAAAACTTATACATGTGATAAATTAGACCTTAAAAATCTCATACTAGTCTTTACCATCACATGCAAATTAATATTAAAATGAAATAATCAGTCAACCCAAGTTAGGCTGTATCTTTCCACTATTATTCAAAGTCAAACCCTCACGATTGGAAGCAAAGTAGTTCCTTCCTCTTCCATTTTAGTCTTATAAAATAAGATTAATCACCACATTTTCTATATAACTACAACATCTACTTCTCTCTATTTTCCTCTAATAATATTCACCTTTTCTTGTTTAAAGGTCAACAACAACCCCTTTAAGATCTGAACATACTGGTGCCAGGTCGTGGTTGTGGTCGTGGTCGTGGTCGTGATCGTGATCGTTGTCATTTGATAATAATGTATAGGTCAGCTAGTGCGACACGGGTTTCCGATGAGTTCTCAGCAAACTTGGTGCCGACTTCTGATGCAGATGAGTAGCCGGTTTACAGAGAAGTTAGCAAGAAACAGAGTGGTTTACAGAGGAGGTTTACATTTCCTGCAGAATATGTTATTCATCTGATTCCTGTTATTCTTGTTCTTTGTGGTTTTATTCTTTGGTTTAATTCTCATCATACTGAGAAAATCTGATTTTTTTGGGGGGTGGGGAATTTATTTCTCTTATTTGTTGAGGATGTACTTGGTATTATTTTATATGCTAAAAATTATAATTATTAAAGTTTAATTGGATAGTTTAAATTGGTAGGTATATTCAACCTTCTGTCTGAGTATTTAATTTGCATTGTCATTTTTTTTTACTGTCTAGTAGCATAAAAAAAAAATGAATTCCGACGGCTATTACTCTATTAGTATATGAACAATATTTATACTTCGTTCCTGTCAAAAAAAATATTATACTTCGTAAAAAATAAAAATTGAAAACCAAAATTTATTTATCGAGGATATTTTTAAGGGAATTATATAGAGGATTAAAAAAAACTTTTATACTGATTATAACACCCTCGTTGATACACTAATAGGAGTAATATCACTGTAGTGTGAAATTGACAATAATAATATGTTTCGACAAGACTCGGAGTAGAAGACACATTGTGCACGTGTGACAAACTTGAACCAGTCAGACATTAACAAAATAACAACGCATATGAAAATGCCCCTATCTAACCCATACCACTAGAATGAGCTCTACAAACATCATTTACAAACCCGCATATAAAAAAATAAGGTAAATAAAAAGAATTTGTAATTTGTATGGTCCTTCTAGCTTATTCGGGCAACAAAAAAAAAAACCTCTCACTTTCTTTGTATTATATCCAACATTTATCTTGTTTGAATAAAAAAAAATACATCTAATATATGAATAAAAATATAATCCATTTCATATGATTAAAGGTCATGGAGAATAGCTATGTCTATTGAAGAAGAGAGATTTTGTTCTTGGGCTTAGTGGCCTTGGACCAAGCCCATCTTATAGTTACCGAGTATTGAATTGTGTCATTTTAAGTTTTTTTTTTTTTTTTTTTTTTTGAAATAAAGTTAATTAGTGCCTTATATTAATAAATTATCCATCAGTACATACAAAGAAACCTCACTAGGATAATGATTCTCCTAAACCTGTTCTAAACCAAAAGTAATTAAACGGGCTAAATTATAGGCAACAGTATTCCCATCCCGTTTAACATGGCACCAACCAATAGAATTAAAGCAAACACAAGACTCTAAAATATCATCTAAAATTCCATCTAAATCAGTGAGAAAAATCGAGCCTTTGCACAATCGGTTCACGAGCACTTGATTATCAGCTTTAATGATGATGTCGGACAATTCATGCATGGCGTTTGGCTAACTTGATAGCTAGAGCAATAGCTTTCCCGTCTGCAACAATTGGAGACCAATAGGCCCTGGTGCGCCTGGTGGCTGAAAACTGGACCCCTCTCCCCTTCCAATTTCTCGCAACAACCCCCAAGCCAATCCAACCCTCATCCTTCAAGGAAGCGTCGCAGTTCAGTTTGATAGTCCCCTCAGGTGGCGGCTTCCACACTTTCGGGCTGCTACCTGAGCTCTTCTTTATGCCTCCATAAATCTTGCTTGTGTAATTCGAGCAATCAGTAGCAAGGCGATACACTCGGTTAATAATTGCAGGATGGTAGGTGTCAATGCCATTAAAAACCATCTCGTTCCTTCTACACCATAGGTACCACATTAAGACTGTACCCCTGCTCTTTTTCTTTGCCTCAAGCTTGCCCTATGATTCAATCAAGTCTAAAAAATACATTCCTGAAGGCCACAAGGACATCTTAATGCACTCACGTTCTAACCACGGCTCACGGACAAAGGGCAATCAAAGAGAGCATGTTTCACCGTTTCGGGGTGGCCTTCGCAGCAAGGGCAATCTACAATGTCAAACATATGCCTATAGTGAAGGTAAGATCGGACCGGGAGCGTTCCAGTACACACTCGCCACAAGAAATTCCGCACCTTCGGAGTGACATCTAGGCTCCAAATATCCACCCAAGCCTTATGAAAATTATCAAGATTACACGACTTTCTTAACATGTAAGCTGATTTAACCGAGTAGCACCCATCCATAGAGAAAGCCCATGTTAAAGAGTCAGGAACAAATTTTGAGCTCAACGGAATTGAAAGAATGCTACGCACATCCTCATCATTGAAAACACCTTCAAGCTGCTGCACATCCCACTCACGTCAGCTATGATCAATCAACTCGCTCACAAGAGAAAGCTCTTCCAAAATCGGAGTTGTGATGAATCTGCTAGCTCTAATGTCAACCTAAGGTTCACTCCATATGTTCACCGAGGACCCATTCCCAATTCTCCACATCAAGCCTTCCTTAACTAAAGCCTTCGAGGACCATATGCTCCGCTAAGAGAAGCTGCCACCAACACCAAAATGCTCAAGAAAGTTCTTACCCGCATAATACTTGGCTTTCAGAACCTTGTTTAGCAAAGAGTTCGAGAAGCTAATGAGCCTCCATGCCTGACGAGCTAGAAGGGCATCATTAAACACCTTTAAGTCTCTAAACCCCATCCCACCCAAGAATTTGGGGGAATAAAGGTCCTTCCAACTCTTCCAGTGCACCTTCCTTTTCCCATCTTCATGACCCCACCAAAAGCGAGCCATCATAGCATGAATATCATCAATTACACCTGCCGGAATTTTATAGACCCACATGATATATGTGGGAACGGCTTGGATCACTGATTTAAGAAGGACTTCCTTCCCTGCTCTTGATAGAAATTTTTCCTTCCACCCTGACAGCTTTTTACATATTCTATCCTTGAGTACCGAGAAAAATAGTCTTTTTTGATTTTTCGATGATTGTCGGAATCCTAAGATACTTCTCGTGTTTATCAACCCGTCGCATAGTCAAAATACTCAACAATTCC